ACACACACACACACACACACACACACACACACACACACACACCACACACCACACATACCACATCAATCACAAAATATGTACATGCATTATTTTTTTGTTTTGTGCACCATGCAAATTTATACACACAATCTAATACATAATTTTTCATTATTTTAAGCATTTTTATATTTTCATATTTTATTTTTATATTTCGAAATACTTATGCTACATTTGTTTTCTCAGACTGATAGTATACATTTCATATTTGTGTTTCCTTTTATAATATACGTGTTAAGTAACATTTATATATTTTATATGTCTCTATTATAGTATTTAATATTGTTTAGTCCAATTTTTTTCAGAATACCACAAAAACGATTGCTACAAGAAGATCGTCGAAGAATTATAACAGAATTTGTGAATAATGATCTACCTGGAGGCAAACGACGTTGGCAAAGTTCTAATGTAGAACCAAAAACAGTTTTTAGTCGATTAAGTGCACATCCATCTATCGCAGATGATAGTGCTGATGAAGATGATAGCATTACTAAGGTAATTTATATATAAATTTGTTAGATATGTAAAAATATCTAATAGTTCTAAAAAATTCATATTTTTTAAAAACTTAATTATAAAGTTGTTTCTATACAAAATTCTTTACTTTTTTAAAGGATGATAAAGAGTGACATACTTTTCACATTTATATTTCATACTTACATATTAGTGAATAAATTATTTCATTTCTATAGAAAATTTGATATCAAAAACTGTTGTTAAATGAATAATATGATTTGTATGTCTTGATGTTTATTAAGCCTGCTGTATCATCCAGAGTAATAGCCACTCCTCGAGAAATTCCTTCGCGACAAGAAGTTATCCGACGAGAAAGGACAGATGAACGCAGTCGACAAAGAAATAAACGTATGTTTGGCGCACTTTTGGGTACTTTACAAAAGTTTAGACAGGAAGAAACTAAACTGAAAGCAAAGGTAAGATATATTTTGATATATTCAGCAATTTATAATTAAACTACATAATGCCTTATTTACAGGAAGATAAAAAAGCAGAAGTAGAAGCTAGAGTAGAAGAAGCTAGAAGACGAGAAAAAGAAGAATTACGAAGAGAAAGACAACAATTGTTTTTGTCACGTAAACGACAATTAGCTGAAGTACGAGCACTAGAAGCAAAGCTTGCTCGTAGTCGACAATTTCAAGATTGGCGCAATGCACAATTATCCCTTGCTTCGTTTATAAAAACACACGCACAGCCTTCTATTTATTATGTACCAAAGCGAAAACATCCACAGACAGACATATTATTAGCGCAGTGTACAAAAGAACTTTATGGTTAATATTCTTCTGAATATTGTAAATTAGCGTGCGTGTGCGTGCGTGCGTGCGTGCGTGCGTGTGTGTGCGTGTGCATGTGCGTGTGTGTAAATATATATGCAATTATATTTTTTTATTGTATTTCAGAGGAAATTGAAAAAAGAGAAAAAGCATTGGTTGAAGAATTAAATTTAATAGAAATTCAAATAGGATTGAACAAACATTCACAAAACAATTTTGAAGAATCTGCATCTTTACATACTGTAGAAGCTCCACGTTCAATAGAGGAAGGTGAAGAAAATCGAGATCCCAATCCAGAACATAATATTGAAACTACAATTAATGATAATACTGATATTTCAATGCAATCCATAATAAATGAAAATTTTGATGATGAACATACTACAGAGAAAAAAGAAGAAATACAATTGGACCAAGTTCAACCAGATGCAAACAATGGCTAGTATCAAATTTGCTATAATACAGATTTGTGTATACATATTATGTACATCTAACAGATGATAACTTTCATAGTAAGTTCTTCAAACATTGTTTTATGATTGAATAATTAAAAATATCTAAAAGACCAAAAATTTGTAATTTTATTATCGCGTAAATTTAGTTCAGTTTTATAGCTTTTAATTTTTGGAAAATTATGTAAATCTTTGCAATATATGTCGACATAAATTAGTTTTCTTAAATATTATTATTCCTGTATCATGTAGATCAGAAAAATATAAATTGCAATTTTTGTATCAATAAATCATACATTGTAATTGTAAAATCCATTTCCATTAGATAAATAAAATGTAAATTTATGTATTTACTAATATAGAAGTAAAAAATTTTTTTATTAAATTAAATTATTTTGAATTATTATGTGCTTAAAAAGACTAACATAATGAATTACTGCAATATCATTGTATTAAACAGGTAAATGAGTATAATTACTTTTATAGACAAGTTGCAATGTGGCAAAATTATTGGATGTATATTTTCATTATATGTTTCTAAAAACAAGAAATAATTATATATATTTAAGTAAATTCTTATTTTCATATTTATACACATATTTATGCACATTGTTAGAAATTGTTTCTCCATTGCAAATCCACCTTTCATTTATTTAAAAACTGAGAATATAATAGAAAATGTTTAAAAGAAGTTTTTTAAAGATTTTTTTATTTTGAGATTTAATTAAAAAACATATTGATATGGCATCTTTAAACTTGATAAAACAAATTTTTTCCAAGTTATTATTCATAAAACAATTTTTTGAAGAGCTTGCAAAGCTATTTACATTATCTATTATAACACTTATTGATCAAAATGTATTATATTATTCGTCAATTTAGATATATTAAATTGGTGTATATAAAATGTTTATGTATCTTTTAATAAATAGTTTAATCAAAATAAGTCTCATTGGCAATAAAATCATTCTCCCAGTTTTATCACTTTAAAAAAAAAATTTCTTTTAGAAATTGATAAAATTGTTTGAGCTCTTTTGACTTTGTCTTCTTTTTTAAATTTTACTTTTTAGAAAACAATTCAAATAGTTGAAAATATGGTTGCTGTAGACAATGAATAAGGAGGATGTAATAGGATTTCATAATTAATTTAATTTTATTTGAGATACATACAGACAACATTATCGAAGAAATATTGAAGAAATATTGATTAATCGATACTGAGTGCTCTATTTTTAGTGCATTTTCTTGATTAGTTGACAATATTTCTATGACGTCTCTAATTAAAACAAGGACATACCTAAAATACCCTTACGAATGAAGGAAACAAAGTCTATTAATTGCGGCCATTATAGACTGCATTCTGATATTCACTGCCAGTACTGAAAATATATAGCTTAGGTCACGTATATTATAGATTTTCAGTACTGGCAGGAGAATATCGGAACGCAGCCATACTTCAGTTTTGTCTATGGCTCGGATTGCCCAACGTGAAAATAGACCAAGATTTTGTTAGAATAATCAGATGTTATAAACAGTGCAAATATTAAATTATATTTGCACTGAAATAAAAATTGAATTTCGTAAGGCCTGTTCTACAAGTGCGTCGTGCGTCGTGTGTCGTGTTGTGGATCATAAGAATGAGCCAATCACAATCAAGTATTCTCCCCATTCAACTGTGATTGGTCAATTCTTGTGACTTGCGACTTGCGATACCAACATGCAATGTATTGTAGAACAAGTCTAAAGCGCGCATTTATATATGCGCATTTATTTAACTTAAGCTGGATGCACAATGAAAAACAGGCAACAGAAACAGGGAATAGAGAACAGACAACAGATTTTGACCAATCAAAGCTGTGAAGAATATTGGAGATATTTCTGACTGTTCCTGTTGCCTGTTTTTCATTGTGCATCCAGCTTTACATACTATAAAAAAAAAATATGCTTTATGCTGACTTTTCATGCTGATGCTCGACACTCATTTTTAGCGTCAAACTAAATCACGTGATCAAAAATAACCATTTTATTTCTGATTCGATTTTACTATTCTGTTTAATTTTGATCATGTGATCTAGTTTGATGCTAAAAATGAGCGTTGAGCGTGAAAAGTCAGCCTTAAAATCCAACCAAAATCGAATTGAAGATTTTGATAAAAACTAGACCATTGAGGCACTCAGCACTTTTATGGCCTAACTTCCACGATTGTTTGCAATCTAGATAATATATTTCGTAGGTTGATGCTCACGTGTATGAGTAACTGATGTTTTATGTACATATTTTTATTTATCTCTGAGAAATTGTTATATTCATACACATATGATATCCAGAAATCGGATAGACCAATATAAGAGAAAGTTTATAATTTACGACTAGCATGCAGTTATTTAATCTTGATATTTAATACGCGTTTTTTATTCATTGATAATGTAATATTGGAAATAATTAATTTTATTATCAAGAGAAATAATGGAAGAAGGAGCAATGTTATGGATGCTCAGTCTTGTTATGCTGGTTGGATCATGTTTGGCTGGATCATTACCATTGGTCATGAATTTGTCGGAAGTAAGAATGTTTTCATAATAAATGAATATATATTTATGTGAAATTTCTCAATATGTTTGTTTGAGCATGCCATATGACTGTATACAATATTTGTTTTCTTTAGGACAAATTACAATTAGTATCTGTATTAGGAGCAGGTCTTCTTGTTGGAACTGCATTAGCAGTAATTATACCTGAAGGTATAAGAGCTTTATTTACTAGTGAAATCACTAATGAAAAAGACTCGTACAGTATGTAGTTTTATATTTATTATTATTAATGTATTTCTTAAAATCAGCATCTTGAAGTAACATTTCTATCTTTACAGGTGACTTACATTCTTTAATTGGAATTAGTTTAGTACTTGGTTTTGTATTTATGCTTTTAATCGATCAGTGTTCAGCAAGAAAAACTGACGGAAGACAAAAGAGTATTACAGCAACTTTAGGTCTTATAGTACATGCAGCAGTTGATGGAGTAGCATTAGGAGCTGCTGCTACTACATCTCAAGCTGATGTTGAAGTGATAGTTTTTTTGGCAATAATGTTGCACAAAGTAAAGTTTTTAACTATATAATATTTTAACAATTAATAAGAACTTAATAGAAAATGGAATATTAATATAATATAATTAATAATAATATAATATAATATAATTGCATAATTTTTATATTACTTTTATTTTAGAATTTTTATTAGTTTTTATTATAAAATTTAAAATTTTCTTATAGGCACCAGCTGCATTTGGACTTGTATCATTCCTCCTTCATGAAGGTGTAGATAAAAAGAAGATAAGTAGGCATTTATTAATTTTTTCTCTTGCGGCACCATGTCTTGCACTTGTAACATATTTTGGAATTGGAAAAGTGAGTAATATAAAATATTTATTATCATTATTTTTATAATAGTTAATTATACAATAAAATTATATGAAAACATTGGAATATATTTACTATTACATAATAAATTTTAAATTTTTTTAAAGTATTGAATAAGTATGATTGATTTCAGATTTTAAGATAAATTTTTAAATAAAATGGATTTAAGATTCTGTGTTAATACAGATATTAAAATAATTATAAAATTACAGAAAAAAATACTAATGATTACGGAATAACATTATAGTTACTATGATAGAACTTCTGCTGCTTGCAGTCATCTTTGCAAATTGGTTGTTATTAGAAAAAAAATATGATAAAAATTGTTTATCAATATTATTCATTTTTTTATAATTGCACTGTAATACTTGCACAAAATAATGATATAAATCAATTAATATATAAAAGATATCAATAGTTGTATGCTTTAAAGACATTATCAGATCTTTTTATTATATTTATTAGTTTTTATTATTACTTGTTGATATTCCAAGTGCCTAATTTGATATATAACTTTGTTCATTTTTCATTTTTTAAAGTTTTTTTACACTCATTTCTTGCAATATAAAAATTAATTTTATACTAACAAATATATTTATAATATAATTTTGTATTACCTCAGGAAGGAAAAGAAACACTGAGCAGTGTCAATGCAACTGGTTTGGCTATGTTGTTTAGTGCTGGAACATTTCTTTATGTAGCCACTGTACATGTTTTGCCAGAATTGATGACAAGGAACAGTAATTACTTACATGTGCCAAATCTTGATGGTACTACACTTTCTACAACTGGGCTCAAAGTTAAAGAAATATTATTCTTAGTAATAGGATCATTTTTACCTGCTTTGATTACTACTGGCCATCATCATTGACTAAATAAAGTATATTTGAGATATTTATCATATATTTTTAATATTTATAAAAACTTCTTTCCCTAATTTGTAAAATCCTATTTCTAAAATTTTTAGATAACTATTTTTTTATTTAAGATATGTATCAAGATTATATTTTAATTGAGAAAAAACAAAAATTATTAACAATTGTTTATAATATTATAATCTTTTTTAAATTTAATTGCAAATTTAATTATTAAATTAGATTATTTGCCAATCATTAAAGTAAAATATAAAGATATATATACTATATATACTTATGTATATATATAATTTTTTTAATATAAAGTTTTTTTTATACATAATAATTTACATAACGTAAACCCATATACACGTAAAACCATATAGAAGTTTATTTCGATACTGTAAAAATTGAATACTTATGTGTATGATATATATATATATATATATATATATATATATAATGTAAAGATAAATTTTTTCTATGTTCTGTGTGTGTGTGTGTGTGTGTGTGTGTGTGTTTTATAAATAAATTCAAAAAATTTTTATTTGAATTCTTTTAAAAAAAATATATTAAAAAGTGGAAAACTTGTACGTTTAAAACTTGTACTGTTTAAAATAAGAAATTGATGACAAAGTAATTTTTCTATAAATCTGTATAAAGAATATATATAAGTATTCTTTTTCAACTTATTAAATCTTTGGACAAGAGGGAAAAATTTTTGTGAATCATTTGTTTTGAGTTCCATGAAAAACTGACTGGGAAAAATCACAGACAATTTTTATTTTAAATTAAAAAGAAAGTCACATTGAGATTCAAGTTGCTAATTTTCCCTTTTTTAATGCTTCTCCTTTTCTAGAAAGGATGTATCCTTTCACTGAGTACTTAATTGTTGGAATATACTTTTAAATTTATATTAAATATAAAAAAATATTCTGATCGAGAAAAATACTTAATGAGCGTTTATCGAGCGATTGCGTGATTCAATGCATTCAATGATTTCTCTGCGGAAAGATTTTCTTTCTTCTCTAAATTATCTAAAATTTCAACACATAGTAAAATTATGTAATTTGATTATTCTAAAAAAACTACTATTCCTTCTAAATCCAAGATATTTCTTTCTATTTTTCTTCTTCTATTTATCTCTCAAAATAAGGAGCCAACCTATCTGAGTAAATTTTATTCTTATGCTTGTTCGATAATATAGAAAATCATATCACTAAGCTATTTAATTATAAAAGATTCTTTTCAATTTTTTTTTAACTTCAGTCTTCATGGGTTCTTCAGTGTCGGTCCACAATAAGTAATTTTTAAACTTTAATCTTTAATCTTTAAACCGTAAGAAATTGACCAATCATAATCGATTATTCTTTTCATATTCGATTATAATTGGTCAATTTCTTACTTCTTAAAGCTTAAATCATCTATTGTGGACCGACACTCATGGACTCTTCCCTTCATGGATTATGGAAATATACGAGGTCGTTCGATAAGTTAGGTAAATTTTTGCGAGATAGCGTCACAATGAACTATGTTGTAGGCACCGCGTCCCTCTTCTTTTCAGTAATCCCTCTCTACATAAGTTGTATACGTCATGGCATAGAGAGGACGATTTTACGAACGCTTTGGCGCGACTTCTTTTTGTTTTGAACGTGAGAGAGTTTTTATATTTTCCGGAAACGGCTCTCTCACAAGACACATCGAGCCCGAGTGTATCTTATAATATCAGCACGACACCCATAGTAATAAAGTTGTTTATCAGCTTCGAGTGAGTTAAGTTAATTATCCTTTTCATCTTATTGACGGGAGGTTTGATGACTTCACATTCCCAGAAGGAACGACGAACAATGACACTGCTCACGCCGGCCATAATTAAGATATATTCCTTATAGTATAGTGTAGTATAGTATATGGCCAGGAAGTAACACTATTCAAACTGCACATAATCTCAAAAATCAGTAGTGTTCACGATGGCAATAACAAAAGAGCATATTCGATTTTCCATCCACTTCGCGTTTCATCTGAAGAAAAATGCTGAAGCCACTGCAATGATTTGTGCTGCATATGGAGAGAACGCTGTAAGTCATGCTACATGTAAAAGATGGTATCAAAAATTTCGCCAAGGAGATTTCAATCTTGAAGATGAACCACATGCTGGACGCAAAAGATTGAAACGGACGAATGCAAGCACTGCTAGATATAAACTCTGCGCAAACTGAAAAGGAGCTTGGCGTTACACAGCAAACCATTTCCGTACGTTTACATACGATGGGAAAGATTCCGAAGGAAGGCAGATGGGTTCCGCATGAATTGTCCGAAGACAACAAAAATCGTCGGCGTGACACTGCACTCACTTTGCTTTCAAAGTTCCGGAAAAAAGATTTTCTGCACAAAATCATTATAGGCGATGAAAAGTGGATTCTTTATGATAACCCTAAACGTAGAAAATCATGGGTTGACCCTGGTCAACCTTCGACATCGACACCAAAGTCCAATATCCAGTGGTTTTGCTCTGTATCTGGTGGGATTGGAAAAGTGTATTGTATTACGAGTTGTTACAACCGGGTGAAACAATCACGGCAGACGCTACCAACAATAATTGATCAATTTGAGCGATGCATTAGAAGAAAAGAGGCCATTTACTGGCCAAGGATCGTGATCTTGCTTCATGACAATGCTCGATCACATGTTGCGAAAGCGATTCAGAACCATATCTTTGCGTTAGGCTGGGAACTTCTCCCGCACGCGGCGTATAGCCCAGACATGGCGCCTTCCGATTATCACCTATTCCGATCGCTGCAGCATCATTTGGCTGATACACGTTTCGTGAGATTTGAAGAGATACGAAAATGCATTGATGACTTTATCGCTTCGAAGCCGGTGAGCTTCTATCATCAAGGAATTCGCAAGCTATCCGAAAGATGGCAAAAAGTTGATGCAAATGGGGAATACTTCACTGATTAATATTTTTTGTTTGTTTTTTAATAAAGATTGAATTTTACAAAAAAGAACTTTTTGTACACCTAATATATAATAAATAACCCCTTAAAAATGTATATACATATATAAGATGTTCCATAACTCTTAATTAATATTTCAAGGAGTGAAAGAAAATGGAATTTTAAATTAAAAATTATTTTCCAATTTTGGCTCAAACCATTATTTATCGAGTTATTAACGATTAAAATTGATCAATCAGATTGCGCCTAGTCGGAGTATGTAGAAGCGTAGCGTGCTTTGAGACCTCTCACGCTTTCTGTACATTCTTTCGATTAAAATTTTATTCGATTAAAATTTGTTATGGGTACAAAAAAAGACTACTGACAAGAAAGATTATCAAAATAAATTGTTTATAAATAAATTATTTAAACAATTTCTTTAAAAATTGTTTTGTCGTTTAAATAATTTATTCACAAACAATTTATTTTGATAATGTTTTTTGTCAATAGTCTTTTTTTGCACCCATAACAAATATTCCGTAATTATTTTTCCCCCATCACTACTAAGTTAGCTATAAAAATTAATTAAATTGAACAAATGGATTAAATAATTGAATTATATAAATAAACAAATAAATAAATAATAAATAATATAAAAAAACAATCAGAAATTGGATAAATTTCTAACTATAACTTTTCTCACTTATTTATTTATTTATTTACTTATTTATTGATTAATTAATTTCATTTCATTTATTTATTAATTAATTTCATTTCATTTATTTATTAATTAATATAATAGAATTAGATAAAATTAGAATACAATTTTAATCGGGAGAATATACAGAAAGCACAAGGGATCTCATAGCACACTACGCTTCTATGTACTCCGGCTGAATGCAATCTGATTGATCAACTTTATCGTTAATAACTCGGTAAATAATGGTTTGAGTCAAAATTGGGAAAGGAACTTTTAGTTTCAAAATTCCATCCTTTTTCATCCCTTGAAATATTAATTAAGAGTTATAGGACCCTGTATACAAAGATAGAGAAATTATGTTTATGTACGATTTTACTTTGATATTAAATTAGTGCTCGCTTATGTGTTATGTTTAATTTGCGGCGATGCGGTGGCGGCGACGCATTCAATGTGAATAAGAACGATGTTATCTTTAAATTTACTTCGCGTCGCGTCGTAACGCAATGGACGCGACGCGCTCAATGGGAATTCACTCTTGATTTATATGTGACAGACGTTGGAAGTGAGCATGGCAGCAGTTGACGTAAAAATGGAAAAAGACGAATTCCGTGCAGCGATTAAATTTTTATTTAAATAAATAAAACATTTTTATTTAAATAAATGGACGGCTGCACAGATTAAAGCCGAATTGGACGAAGTTCACGGGGACTCTGCACCAGCGTTGAAGACTGTTTATTTTTGGATTAATGAATTCAAAAGAGGCCGGACATCAACCAAGGATGAAACGCGCTCCGGACATTCAGTTGAAATCACTACGCCAGAAATGACTGAAAAAATTCATCGTATCGTCATGGAAGATAGCCGACTGAAGGTGCGTGACATAGCTAAGATTGAAGACATCTCGATAGATAAGGTGCATGTAATATCCTGCACAAAGAATTAGAAATGAAAAAGCTTTGTGCACGATGGATGCCGCGATTGCTGACCATCGATCAAAAACGCATGCGAAAAGACATTTCGCAGCAGTGTTTGTTGATGCTTAAGCGCAATCCACAAGACTTTTGGCGTCGATTTGTGACCGTAAATGAGACTTGGATCCATCACTATACATCCGAGTCAAAACAGCAGTCGAAGCAGTGAACAGCGCCTGGTGAATGTGTGCCGAAGAAGGCGAAGACTGTTTTATCGGGAAGATAATGGCCATTATTTTTTGAGATTCTCAAGGAATCATCTTCATTGACTACTTACAGAAGGGTCAAACAGTCACAGAAGCATATTATTCTACACTTCTGAATCGTTTGTATAAAGAGCTGCAAATGAAACGGTCGCAAAATTCATCTTTCTTCTACTCCGGCTCTACAATGGCCATCGCAATGGCAAAATTGCATGAATTAAAATTCGAATTGCTGCCTCATCCACTCTATTCTCCTGATTTGACCTCTTGTGCCTTCTTTCTATTCCCAAACCTCAAGATCTGACTCGGGAAAAAGAAATTTTCACCCGATAAGGAGGTCATCGCTGCTGTGAATACATATTTTGAAGATCTCGAGACTTCCTACTTTTTCGAAGGAATCAAAAAATTGGGACACCGCTGGACTAAGTGTGTAGAGCTCCAGAAGACTATGTCGAAAAGTGAAAAAGAATTTTCCGGAAAATAGATAATTTTATTGTTTTTTTACCTGATTTAAAACGAACGACCTTCGTACTTTCTGATCTCGAAACGAATTTGCTTGACTTTTTGATCATATTACTTAGCTCAAGAAAATAATTTAATTAATTTAATTTATTTAAATAATTTAATTTATTTCCACATGTTTCCTAATATTATTATGTAATATTATTGTTACTATTATGTTTTTTGAATTTCTCCTTTAATCTGCTAATGTACTTAGTAATTTACTTAGAACTTACTAAGAACTTACTAAGAACTTCTTCTAACTTACTAAGAACTTACTAAGAACTTCTTCTGCTTTCCAGATTTTCACACAACAAATTCAAAAGAAGTCTAACAAGAGACAATTCCGTTGAAATAATTTCAATAGTCTTATGTTTAAAAGATGCATATTTGATTATTAAATTATTTGCTGATCATTAAAGTAAAATATAAAGATATACATACCTATTTTATATACACATATATATATATAATTTTTCTAATATAAAGTCTTCAATACATAATAATTTATATAAATACAACCATATAGAAGTTTATTTCAATACTGTAGAATTGAATATTTATGTATATACATAATGTAATATATAATGTTTATAAGTAGACATCTTCCTTAATTGAAAATTTGTACTAATAAATTTTTATATTAACATTTATTTATTTTGGCATTGTAAATTTGTGCAATATTTATGCACAAGCAAGAACATGGAAATCCATTCAGAATTCTTCTGGAAATTCATTCTTGGAAACAAACTTTGCCAGATAATTAATATCTCTTGATAGTTTAGTGCCGATATTTGACTTGTCCAACATTTGACTTGTCTTGTGGTTGAGATAGAAAGGAGTCATTCTCATCTTCTTATTCCTATAAAAACTAACTCCTGAAGCATTTCAAATCGAAATTAAAAATTTTTTATTATTACTTAGAGTTATGACTTTGATAATGTATATATCTTATATTCGTTTTTACTGAAATAAAAACATCTTGGCATATACGATCGAACAAGATCTTAAGCACCTATTTTTAAAATTAATTGAATAAATTCAATCTATTATCTGTGATCACATTGATCTAGTTGTATATGTATTTAAAAAACATTTTTTTTATCATAAAAGCGAAACTTATAGTCTAATAAAAATTACGAAAAAGTACAATAAATAATTATGATTAATATTTTATATAAAAAGGGCATCTTAAAAACGTATATTTATACAAGAAAACGCCACGATGTTTCAGTATTATATTTAAAATGTAATATCATTATATCTCAGTTAATAATCAAACAACACCATTAACTTAATAGTGACATCACTTAGTATCCACTTGATATCTACACTTCACATAACTTTCCATTACTATTGTTATTGGAGTGGAGTCGAAGATAACTTACTTCAACATTCATATGGGATATTTTACACATGTACGCATTTTACATGTATTCCTAACAGTCGATAACTGCTAACACCACGTATGATATTTAATGAATGGATTAAGTATAGAGTTCTATACTATAATCAAACAGTTGTCTGTTACATTTTATCTCTGTTCCGGTTTATAGTCTGTTATTATTTTCACACATGCAATAATTAAGTATCTCGTTGTGTATTGTGTAATCATACCTTAGGATAAGGGTATCAACGAGATACCTATCCTAAGGTATGATTACGTAGTATATCACGAGATATTTAATTTATTAAGAAGTTTACCTTCGTAGGGTATACACTTGAAAATATAGTGTACCGTAGTACGGCACCTGTATAATTACATTTATTTTTTATCAATAAATGAAAATTTAAAATTTTTTAAATTTACAAAGATCTAAAATTTTTATAAAAAATTGAAGATTGATGATATATAATTAAAAAAATATATTTCTTACGGTAAAAGTGAAATACGAATTTATTTTAGCTTATCTTCTAGTTTTTAGCTTCTAATTTTAGCTAATCTTATTGATTTTCGTTAAACTCTATATACCTTCGTTTTCCTAATGCGCAAACGTAAGATGTTACTTGTAAGATTCTTTACAAGCAGATAATAGTAGTATCAAATCAAATTGTCGCAGAATAAATATTCAATATATTTTCTAAAATAATTATTATACATATATGATAATTGTATCATTATAATGATATCGAAAATTACTTCAATTGAAGCTATACATTTTATAAAAATTAGTGTGGCGTTACTATGTGCCTGGCCACCATCACCGAACGCAACGAAATTTGAAATTATTGTATTTAAAATTCGGTGGTTCACTTGTTATTTGAGCAGTATCTTATTATTGCTTCCGTTGCTAAATTCAATTTACGAATATCGTGATGATCCCGAGATTTTAGGAAAATCAGTTTGTTTGTCTTGCGGATGCATTCAAGTCACAATCAAGATGATGATATGTGCTACTCGATATACTCAGTTCCAGGTATGTATATAAAATTCAACAATTCTTATTCATAAAATAGGATATATAATATTTACATTTTCAAAAATTAAAACATAATTTTAAAGTGCAAATTATTTGTTTAGTTTTAAAAATTATCTTTTATTTGACAACCAACAGCATTTTTCAATTAATCTTTTTTTATTTCAAGAAGACATTAAATTAAATTAACAAATTATTATATTATAAAATTTTAGTTTATTTTCAAAAGTTTAATTAATAAATTATTAATTTATTTAGTAAATTTGTTATGCTTATTCATAGAAAAAATTAATTTATTTTATAATGTATTTAACCGTAATATTTTTGGTTCTTCAACGCTTTCCAAATATTGATTAATTCTCAACAACGAAAAGAGAAGTCATCAGTGAAATGTTATTTTTTTATTTTAAAATTTTTTACATTCAAAAATTAAATAAGGAAGAGATAACAAACTTACATACCGTTGAACATTATAGAATTAACATGATATAATATCTGAAATTATTATTTCAGATATTATATCATGAAATGGAAACATTTTGCAAACAGGCAGATGAAAAAACAAATGTTATGTTGCAGCGTTATGTTGATAAGTACAAAAGTATTTATGGCATTTATTCTTTATGGTGCTATCTAACCGCTATTGGCATTATTTGTGGACCATTATTTCTCCCACAAGAGTTTCCGACTTATGCAAAATATCCATTTTCTGTCGAGCATCCGATAAAAAGTATTATTTATTTACATCAATCATTAGTCGGCTTACAGGCTTCATCCGGAATATGTATCGAGTGCAGTATTGCAGTTCTTTTGTTCTATTCTGCAGCAAGATTAGATCTGTTAGCCCAGAAAATGCGCAATATCAAAAAGGAGAACGAATTGAACGCGTGCATTAAACTTCATGATGAAATATTAAAGTAAGAGGTGTATGCCATCACTTCTTTTCTTTATAGTTTGCATTATAAAAAATATTTCAAAAAAATGTTTTAAAATTTAAAAAATTTTTCAAATACACGACGATCTGTTTATGTGCATAACATACGCGAGAAGAGTTCAAATATAAAAAAAAGTTTAATTTCTTTGTTTACATAAATTAATTTGTGTGAACAAATTAATGTTCTTTTAGTAATAAGTTACATATCATAAAACTTACAAAATTAAAACATTATTTAAAAATATATAGGTATCGAAACTTTCTGTTTAAAAATAATTATAAAGCATAAAATTTGCATAATATTTAAAAATACATGGAACACCAGAACCCTGCTTGTAAATTGTAAAACATAGAACACTAGCGCTATAAAGAATGCTATTGGAACTATTGTTGGTTTTTAAAAATTAATAAAATATCGTGCCAATTTCACAAATATGATGCATTACTTTTTTGCTACTCGCGTCTTCAATGATTAAATAAAATTTGCAACGTTTTGAAATTAAGGATAATCTTTCCCACACATTACCTTTATTATCATTTTTTTGAAAAAATAATTGTATCTAACAATTGTATCAATATTTGTATACACAAAATATTCGCATAATTATACAAGATGTCCCGTAGCACTGTCCTCATCGTTGAGAAG